CCTGCTACAAGTTGTCCTTCTTTCCCATCTGAAAGTTGGCAGATATACAAATACACTATATTGCCCCAAGTATTGTCCCTGCCCCCCAATATACAATATACACTATATTGCCCCAAGTATTGTCCCTGCCCCCCCAATATATACTATATTGCCCCAAGTATTGTCCCTGCCCCCCCAATATATACTATATTGCCCCAAGTATTGTCCCTGCCCCCCCCCCCCCAAGTATTGTCCCCTGCCCCCCCAATATACACTATATTGCCCCAAGTATTGGGCCCCCGGCCTTTCCACACACATGTCCTTTAATGGCCCCCCCCAGTCTTAGTCCGTAGGGTTCAATATTGAGTTGGCCCCGCCCTTTCCACACACATGACCTTTAATGGCCCCCCCAGTCTTAGTCCTGTAGGGTTCAATATTGAGTTGGGCCCCCCCCTTTCCACACACATGTCCTTTAATGGCCCCCCAGTCTTAGTCCGTAGGGTTCAGTATTGAGTTGGTTCCGCCCTTTCCTCGCACATGACCTTTAATGGCCCCCCAGTCTTAGTCCATAGGGTTCAGTATTGAGTTGGCCCCGCCCTTCCCACACACAAGACCTTTAATGGCCCCCCAGTCTTAGTCCGTAGGGTTCAATATTGAGTTGGCCCCGCCCTTTCCACACACATGACCTTTAATGGCCCCCCCAGTCTTAGTCCGTAGGGTTCAATATTGAGTTGGCCCCGCCCTTCCCACATACATGACCTTTAATGGCCCCCAGTCTTAGTCCATAGGGTTCAATATTGAGTTTGGCCCCGCCCTTCCCACACACATGACCTTTAATGCCCCCCCAGTCTTAGTCCGTAGGGTTCAATATTGAGTTGGCCCCCACCCTTTCCACTCACATGACCTTTAATGGCCCCCCAGTCTTAGTCCGTAGGGTTCAATATTGAGTTGGCCCCGCCCTTTGCAGCTATAGCAGCTTCAACTCTTCTGGGAAGGCCGTCCACAAGGTTTAGGAGGGTGTCTATGGGAAGGTTGGACCATTCTTCCAGAAGCACATTTGTCAGGTCAGGCACTGATGTCGGGGAGGGGCACTGATGTCGGGGGAGGGGGCCTGGCTCGCAGTCTCCGCTCTAATTCATCCCAAAGGTGTTCTATGGGGTTGAGGTCAGGACTCTGTGCAGGACAGTCAAGTTCCTCCACCCCAAACTGGCTCCTCCATGTCTTTATGGACCTTGCTTTGTGGCACTGGTCATGTTGGAACAGGAAGGGGCCATCCCCCAAAACTCTTCCCACAAAGTTGGGAGCATGAAATTGTCCAAAATGTCACCTTAAAAGTTCCCTTCACTGGAACTAGGGGGCCAAGCCCAACCCCCCTGAAAAATACCCCGTTCCCACACTCATAATCCCAGACACGTCCTCCACCAAACTGTACACTCCAGAGAACACGGCACAATAGCAGTCCAGTGGTGGCAAGTACCGTTCTCCTGGCCTACGAGTCCTGCCGGCGTGCTTTACAAACCCAGACACGTCCATTGGATTGCCAGACAGAGAAGCGTGATTGGTCACTCCAGAGAAAACGCCTCCTCTGCTCTAGAGTCCAGTGGCGGCGTGCTTTACACCACGGTATCCGACGCTTTGCATTGCACTTGGTGATGGAAGGCTTGGATGCAGCTGCTCGGCCATGGAAACCCATTCCATGAAGTCTCTCTACGCACTGTTGTTGGGCTCATCTGAAGGCCACACCAAGTTTGGAGGTCTTTAGCTATTGACTCTGCAGACAGTTGGTGACTTCTGCGCACTGTGCGCTTCAGCATGCGCTGACCCCCGCCCGCCCTGTCACATGTGACGTGCCTACCACTTGGTGGCTGAGTGCTGTGCGTGGCCTACCACTTGGTGGCTGAGTGGCTGTTGTTCCCAGTGGGCTTCCACTTGGAGTTATAATCCCACTAACAGTTGGTGGAATATTTAGTATGCCAGGAAATGTCACGGATGGGACTCACATGATATTGCCCAGTGTGGCCACCTATCACATGATATGGAGGGGACCACGCTTGGAGTCACTGAGCTCCTGGAGACCTGACCCATTCTTTCACCAATGTTTGTAGAAGGAACACGTCTGCATGCCTAGGGGCTTGATTGATATACACCTGTGTCCATGGAGGGGATTGGAAGCACCTGAATCACATGATATGGAGGGGATTGGAACACCTGAATCACATGATATGGAGGGGATTGGGAACACCTGAATCACATGATTGGGAGGGGATTGGGGACACCTGAATCACATGATATTGGGAGGGGATTGGAATGCCTGAATCACATGATATGGAGGGGATGGAACACCTGAATCACATGATATGGAGGGGATGGGAACACCTGAATCACATGATATGGAGGGGATTGGAACACCTGAATCACATGATTGGACCTGAGGAGGGGATTGGAACACCTGAATCACATGATCATTGGAAACACCTGATCACATGATTATGGAGGGGATTGGAACACCTGAATCACATGATATGGAGGAGGATTGGAACACCTGAATCACATGATATGGAGGGGATTGGAACACCTGAATCACATGATATGGAGGGGATTGGAGCACCTGAATCACATGATATGGAGGGGATTGAAGCACCATGAATCACGTGATATGGAGGGGATTGGAATGCACCTGAATCACATGATTTGGAGGGGATTGGAACACCTGAATCACATGATTTGGAGGGGATTGGAATGCCTGAATCACATGATTTGGAGGGCGGGGGACAGTACCTTTGGCAATATAGTGTAGAAGACTGAAGTCCTAAGAGGACTCAGGATTCTTTGGTTTGCAGAAAATTCACGGTGTACAGAGGGGTGTACTGGGGTCCTAAGAGGACACAGGATGCTTTGAGGTGTGTTGGGGCCACAGGGATGCTTAGGAGTCACAAGATTACAGAGGGAAGCTTTGGGGTGCACTGGAGCCTTGGGGCACAGGGGTGTGGACCATGGGGGCACAGGGGTGCACTGGAGGGGTCATGGGGGCACAGGGGGTGTAGTGGAGCCATGGGGGAGGGGTTTGGAGCCCATGGGGGCACAGGGGTGCACTGGATATATCACAGGGGGCACAGGGGTGCACAGGGGGTGATGGCCTTGAGGGCACAGAGGTGTGGAGCCATGGGGCCATCACAGGGGTGCACTGGAGCCATGGGTCACAGGTGTGGAGCCATGGGGTCACAGGGGTGTGGAGCCATGGGAGTCACAGGGGTGTGCACTGGATCCATGGGGGCACAGGGGTGTCACTGGAGCCATGGGGCACAGGGGTGTGGAGCCAGGGGGGCACAGGGGTGCACTGGGATCCATGCCAATATAAGGCATCCTTTGGGGGTGTGGAGTCATGGGGGCACAGGGGTGTGTGGAGTCACAGGGGTGGGGGCCATGGGAGCACAGGGGTGTGGAGCCAGGGGGGCACAGGGGTGTACTGGAGCCATGGGGGCACAGGGGTGTGGAGCCAGGGGGGCACAGGGGTAGGCCACTGGAGCCATTGGGGCACAGGGGTGTGGAGCCAGGGGGGCACAGGGAGGGTGTGGAGCCATGGGGGGCACAGTGGTGCACTGGGGCCATTAGAGGACACGGACGCACTGATGAAAGCTGGAAGTGCCGGTAGCCGCGTGCCGGAGAGGAGAACCGGTCTTCGCCCCCGCAGGAGGAGACTCTGACAAGCTGATCATTTTTATTTGTTTTTTATTACAGTTCTCCTTTTAAGCATGAAATAGAATCCGGCTGTCATGGCCCTCTCACCGATCGGTAATGATGATCCCCACAATGCCGCCAGAAAACCTTCAACCCCGAGGACTGTCAGCAGAAAGAGCAATGGATTCCGCTGTACAGACCCCCCCCCCCCCCCCCCCCCCACCAACTGCAATATGTTTTAAAGTGGAGGATGCTTAAAGCGTATTTTTATTACAGCAATAATGTACAGGACAGCTCCGCCATAAATCACCGCGACAGTCCGGGAGGTGAGTGAGGACCTGTCCTGTGCAAATCCATCTCTACAGGGAGAGACTATGGAGCCAGTGACTAGAACACCAACACAATCAACCGTTCTGAGCAGAAGAGCTTACAATCTGAAGGCCACATACTCTTCATTTCTATAGTGACAACAATCTACGTGGCACTTTGTATATCGTACATTCGCCTCAGGAGCTTACAATCTAACGTCCCATCTCATGTGCATGGACATACTTGGGCCAGCTTGGACAGGTGCCAGCTAACCTACTAACTTGTGTTTGGGGTGTGAGAAGGAATTGAAGTAAACTCACACAAGTACAGGGAGAATATGCAAACTCCATGCAGATGGTGTCCAGACCGGGATTCAAACCCAGTACCCTGGTAGTGCAAGGACCCAGAACCTCAGATATGTAAGGGACCCAGAACCAGAGTGTCTATGGGAAGGTTGGACCATTCTTCCAGAAGCACATTGTCAGGTCAGGCACTGATGTCGGGGGGAGGGGGCACTGATGTCGGGGGAGGGGCACTGATGTCGGGGGAGGGGCACTGATGTCGGGGGAGGAGGCCTGGCTCGCAGTCTCCGCTCTAATTCATCCCAAAGGTGTTCTATGGGGTTGAGGTCAGGACTCTGTGCAGGACAGTCAAGTTCCTCCACCCCAAACTGGCTTCTCCATGTCTTTATGGACCTTGCTTTGTGCACTGGTGGGCAGTCATGTTGGAACAGGAAGGGGCCATCCCCAAACTCAAACTAGGGGGCCAAGCCCAACCCCTGAAAAATACCCCCACATCATAATCCCCCTCCACCAAACTTTGCACTTGGCACAATGCAGTCAGGCAAGTACCGTTCTCCTGGCCACCGCCAAACCCAGACACATCCATCGGATTGCCAGACAGAGAAGCCTGATTGGTCACTCCAGTGAACACGCCCCCACTGCTCTAGAGTCCAGTGGCAGCGTGCTTTACAACCACGGCATCCGACGCTCTGCATTGCACTTGGTGATGGAAGGCTTGGATGCAGCTGCTCGGCCATGGAAACCCATTCCATGAAGCTCTCTACACACTGTTGTTGGGCTCATCTGAAGGCCACACCAAGTTTGGAGGTCTTTAGCTATTGACTCTGCAGACAGTTGGCGACTTCTGCGCACTGTGCGCTTCAGCATGCGCTGACCCCGCCCTGTCATGTGACGTGGCCTACCACTTGGTGGCTGAGTGGCTGTTGTTCCCAGTGGCTTCCACTTTGTTATAATCCCACTAACAGTTGAGCGTGGAATATTTAGTAGCCAGGAAATGTCACGGATGGACTGATTGCCCAGGTGGCCACCTATCACGGGACCACGCTTGGAGTCACTGAGCTCCTGAGAGCGACCCATTCTTTCACCAATGTTTGTAGAAGCCGTCTGCTGATGCCTAGGGGCTTGATTGTATACACCTGTGTCCATGGAGGGGATTGGAGCACCTGAATCACATGGTATGGAGGGGATTGGAACACCTGAATCACATGATTGGGAGGGGATTGGAACACCTAAATCACATGATATGGAGAGGATTGGAACACCTGAATCACATGATTGGGAGGGGATTGGAACACCTGAATCACATGATATGGAGGGGATTGGAACACCTGAATCACATGATTGGGAGGGGATTGGAACACCTGAATCACATGATATGGAGGGGATTGGAACACCTGAATCACATGATATGGAGGGGATTGGAACACCTGAATCACATAATTGGGAGGGGATTGGAACACCTGAATCACATGATATGGAGGGGATTGTAACACCTGAATCACATGATTGGGAGGGGATGAGAACACCTGAATCACGTGATATGGAGGGGATTGGAACACCTGAATCACATGATATGGAGGGGATGGGAACACCTGAGTCACATGATATGGAGGGGATTGGAACACCTGAATCACATGATTGGGAAGGGATTGGAACACCTGAATCACATGATATGGAGGGGATTGGAACAACTGAATCACATGATTGGGAGGGGATTGGAACACCTGAATCACGATATGGAGGGGATTGGAACACCTAAATCACATGATATGGAGGGGATTGGAGCACCTGAATCACATGATATGGAGGGGATTGGAACACCTGAATCACATGATTGAGAGGGGATTGGAACACCTGAATCACACGATTGGGAGGGGATTGGAACACCTGAATCACATGATATGGAGGGGATTGGAACACCTGAATCACACGATTGGGAGGGGATTGGAACACCTGAATGGAACACATGATATGGAGGGGATTGGAACACCTGAATCACATGATATGGAGGGGATTGGAACACCTGAATCACATGATATGGAGGGGATTGGAACACCTGAATCACATGATTGGGAGGGGATTGGAACACCTGATCACATGATATGGAGGGGATTGGAACACCTGAATCACATGATTGGAGGGGATTGGAACACCTGAATCACATGATATGGAGGGGATTGGGACACCTGAATCACACGATTGGGAGGGGATTGGAACACCTGAATCACATGATATGGAGGGGATTGGAACACCTGAATCACATGATTGGGAGGGGATTGGAACACCTGAATACATGATATGGAGGGGATTGGAACACCTAAATCACATGATTGGGAGGGGATTGGAACACCTGAATCACATGATATGGAGGGGATTGGGACACCTGAATCACACGATTGGGAGGGGATTGGAACACCTGAATCACATGATATGGAGGGGATTGGAACACCTGAATCACATGATATGGAGGGGATTGGAACACCTGAATCACACGATTGGGAGGGGATTGGAAACCCTGAATCACATGATATGGAGGGGATTGGGACACCTGAATCACATGATATGGAGGGGATTGGAACACCTGAATCACATGATGTGGAGGGGATTGGAACACCTGAATCACATGATTGGGAGGGGATTGGAACACCTGAATCACGATATGGAGGGGATTGGAACACCTAAATCACATGATTGGAGGGGATTGGAACACCTGAATCACATGATATGGAGGGGATTGGGACACCTGAATCACACGATTGGGAGGGGATTGGAACACCTGAATCACGATATGGAAGGGATTGGAACACCTAAATCACATGATATGGAGGGGATTGGAACACCTGAATCACATGATATGGAGGGGATTGGAATACCTAAATCACATGATAGGGAGGGGATTGGAACACCTGAATCACACGATTGGGAGGGGAATGGAACACCTGAATCACATGATATGGAGGGGATTGGAACACCTGAATCACATGATTGGGGGGATAGGAACACCTGAATCACACGATTGGGAGGGGATTGGAACACCTGAATTCATGATATGGAGGGGATTGGAACACCTGAATCACATGATTGGGAGGGGATTGGAACACCTGAATCACATGATATGGAGGGGATTGGGAACACCTGAATCACATGATTGGGAGGGGATTGGAACACCTGAATCACACATGATATGGGAGGGGATTGGAACACCTGAATCACATGATTGGGAGGGGATTGGAACACCTGATCATGATATGGAGGGGATTGGAACACCTAAATCACATGATTGGGAGGGGATTGGAACACCTGAATCACATGATATGGAGGGGATTGGGACACCTGAATCACACGATTGGGAGGGGATTGGAACACCTCACAATCACATGATATGGAGGGGATTGGAACACCTGAATCACATGATATGGAGGGGCAATTTGGAACACCTGAATCACACGATTGGGAGGGGATTGGAAACCCTGAATCACATGATATGGAGGGGATTGGGACACCTGAATCACATGATATGGAGGGGATTGGAACACCTGAATCACATGATGTGGAGGGGATTGGAACACCTGAATCACATGATTGGGAGGGGATTGGAACACCTGAATCACGATATGGAGGGGATTGGAACACCTAAATCACATGATTGGGAGGGGATTGGAACACCTGAATCACATGATATGGAGGGGATTGGGACACCTGAATCACACGATTGGGAGGGGATTGGAACACCTGAATCACGATATGGAAGGGATTGGAACACCTAAATCACATGATATGGAGGGGATTGGAACACCTGAATCACATGATATGGAGGGGATTGGAATACCTAAATCACATGATAGGGAGGGGATTGGGAGTTCACACCTGAATCACACGATTGGGAGGGGAATGGAGTTCATGAATCACATGATATGGAGGGGATTGGAGCACCTGAATCACATGATATGGGGGGATTGGAACACCTGAATCACACGATTGGGAGGGGATTGGAACACCTGAATCACATGATATGGAGGGGATTGGAACACCTGAATCACGTGATATGGGGGGATTGGGAACACCTGAATCACATGATATGGGGGGATTGGAACACCTGAATCACATGATATGGGGGGATTGGAACACCTGAATCACACGATTGGGAGGGCGGGGACAATACAGTATATATACACTCTCATATACTGTATAGTGCAGTTCAGTTACAATGTAGACGTGTGTTGCGTGATGCAATAGCTGGACATACATGTAATTCGATGTTTCCCCTGTACATGTGTCATGTCAGACATGTTCATCCTCACAATGTATATTCTGCGGTCAGGTAAGTGTGTCTCCATGGAGGAAGGCGGCGGGGGGCAATTTGGCGCTGCACTTTATTTCCTCCTGACATGCCCGGTGTGAAGGGAGGGGGGTATCAGGGCCCCGAAACCACAAGCTGTCAGCGGAGGCGAAGAATTCATCCCGCAGTCCAGCCCCCCCCCCCCCCATAATTCAGCTCTTCCCTCCGCAGATCCCCGCCAGCCTAGCCTTTGCCTGAATACATAATTGGCCCAATCACTGCCTGTTACCGTATAAAACCATCTGATGAGAATGATGCTAAGCTTTAACCAGATTGGAGTCTTTATAGACAGCGGGGGGGAACCTCAGGACGTGGAAGACAGGCTGCCATTAACCCCTCCACTGCCGCTGGTGGCTCCATCTCCCGGGCTGAGTCAGTAAAGATGCGGAAAGGGTGATGGCGGAGTTCATGGCGGAGCTCGTGGCGGAGCTCGTGGGGAGTTCATGGCGAAGTTCATGGCGGAGCTCGTGGGGGAGTTCATGGCGGAGTTCATGGCGGAGCTCGGGCGGAGTTCATGGCAGAGTTTATGGCTATCTGATTGCTCGTGGGGTCCTGTGTCATGGGTTCCTAGTATCAGTGGCACCTACGTACTGCCCAGTCGGGCCCCTAGTTCATGGCCTCTGGTGTCAGTGGGGTTCCCGGTGTCACCGGTCTCCCCCAGTGGGTTCCCCTTCTCAGTGGAGTTCCCTGTCACCTCCTGGTGTCAGATCATGGGGTTCCTAGTGTCAGTACACCCGTGTCAGTGGGGTTCCTATGTGCTCAGTGGGGTTCCTGGTGTCATATACTGTTCCCTATATACTGCCCCTATCATGGGGTTCCCGGTATCATGGGGTTCCATGGCGTGGGGGCCCTGTCAGTGGGGTTATGTCACTGGTTCCTGGTATGGGGTACTGCGATACAGCTGCTAATACACTGCACCTTCTATAATTGCCCCATTATACACTGCCCCTGCACTGCCCTACAATTACTGCCCCTATATAACTGCCCCTTATAAACATACTGCCCCCCCCATACCTTGCCCCATATATAACTATACAGACCCTATATCCGAACATGCAGCTGCTATATACACCCTATATACACTGCCCTATATACTGCCCCCCGATATACACCCTATATACTGCCCCTATATACTGCCCCTATATACTGCCACCTATATAATATATACTGATCGACCTATATAATTGCTGCACCTATATCAGAATAACAAAACTGCCCCTATATACACTGCCCCTATATACCTATACTGCCCCTATATAGAAACTGCCCTATATATACACTGCCCTATATAGGCAGGGGGTGTTCTACACTGCCCCTATATACACTCCCCTCCTCCCCTATCCTATATACAACTGAACCCCTATATACACTGCCATACACTGCACCTATATACTGCCACCTATATACACTGCACCTATATACACTGCCCTATATACTGCCCTATCTATACACTGCCCCTATATACACTGCCCCTATATACACTGCCCCTATATACATATGCCCTATATATACACTGCACCTATATACACCCTATATACTGCCCCTATATACTGCCCTATATACACAGCCCCTATATACACTGCCCCTATATACACTGCCCCTATATACACACCTATATACACTGCACCTATATATACACACCTATATACTGCCCTATATACACTGCCCCTATATACACTGCCCTATATATACTGCCCCTATATACTGCCCCTATATACATGCCCCTATATACTGCCCTATATACACTGCCCTATATACACTGCCCCTATATACACACTGCCCTATATACACTGCCCCTATATACACTGCACCTATATACTGCACCTATATACACTGCCCCTATACACACTGCCCCTATATACACACCCTATATACACACTGCCCTATATATATATACACTGCCCCTATATACACTGCCCCTATATACACTGCCCCTATATACACATGCCCCTATATACTGCACCTATATACTGCCCTATATACACTGCCCCTATATACACTGCACCTATATACTGCCCCTATACACTGCCCCTATATACACTGCCCTATATACACACTGCCCCTATATACTGCACCTATACTGCCCCTATACACTGCCCTATATACTGCACCTATATACACTGCCCTATATACACTGCATACACTGCCCTATATACACACCTGTACACTGCCCCTATATACAAATCTATACACTGCACCTATATACACATCTATATACACACCCCTATATACACTGCCCACCTATATACACTGCCCTATATACACTGCCCTATATACACTGCCCTATATACACTTCCCCTATATACACTGCCCTATATACACTGCCCCTATATACACTATATAAATGCCCTATACACTGCCCTATATACACATCTATACACTGCCCCTATATACACTGCCCCTATATACACTGCCCCTATATACGTGTATTCTTCTAGCTGGAGTGACGTGTGGAGGGAACTCCCTGCTGTGTTTTTGCTCGCTGTGATCTCATTGGATGTTGGTTGCACGGTGTCATGTGACGTGCTGTATACACCCAATATACCATCACATCTCTGTATAGTGGGGAGCTCCTCTATATTTACAATGAATGGCGGATTCATAGACTGTGGCGGGGTTTAGGCGCCCTAAAAACCATGTAAATGTAGAGAGAATATTGGGGTGCAGCCTGCTGATCACGTGTAGCCATGCCGGGCGTCAGTCTGCTGTAGGAGCTGATAGATAACAATTGGGGGGTGGTA